CCAGATTAGCATGTTCATATACATATTTTTCATGATAAACAATGGTAAAACATTTTGAAATCTTTTACTCATATTTAAAAAAGATATTTTCATATAAGGCAGGGTTTCTCAACCTTGCCACTATTGACATTTTGAAGCAGACAATTCTCTGTTGTGGGGTCCTGTGCTGTGCACTGTAGAAAGTGAAGGAGCATCCCTGGCCTCTACCCACAGATGCTAGGAGCACACCACTAATCTCACTGGTGACAACCAAAACTGTCTTCAGACACTGCTAAATGTACCTAATATGGGGGGAAGAATCAGCCTGTCCTTAAAACTATAAATCTAGGAAGAATGTTACCTTTTTTCTCCAAAAGAATGACTTTTATTTAACATAATTTTCTTATACCGTACCTTTAATCATCTCTAGATTAAAAAAAAAAAAAAAAAAACCATATATATGTTGTTTTGGCGGCAGGTGCAGTGGCTTACACTTGTAATCTCAGCACTTTGGGAGACCGAGGCGGGCGGACCACCTGAGGTCGGAGTTCAAAACCAGACTGGCCAACATGGAGAACCCTCATCTCCTAAAAGTACAAAAATTAGCCAGACGTGGTGGCAAATGCCTGTAATCTCAGCTATTCAGGGGGCTGAGGCAGGAGAATCTCTTCAACTTGGGAGATAAAGGTTGCAGTGAGCCGAGATCATGCCACTGCATTCCAGTCTGAGTGACAGAGCAAGACTCCATCTAAAAAAATAAAAATAAATAAAGATAATTTTTTAAAAATGTTTTGAAGTTTATTGAGTGCTACTGGTTTGGTATTGTCCATCTTGCCTTTCCTCAATGAATCGAATTCTGTCATGCCTGAATTAGCCCAATTAATTTTATTAGCAAGCTCATATCTATTTATCACATTAACTTACCTCAGTGTCAAAGAATTCCCTATGGCCCACAGTTTCTTAATACGTCACACTTTCTCTCAAGAAATAGCTTGCACACTTGAGAAAGATGGTGGAACACTTGTGAACACACCTAGAAGGAAAATAATTTTAATGCTGTTGGCCAAAGAGCATTAATTTCTTTCTGAAAAAAATGTTCCATCTTCTATGGAGTGCTTGCACTTTGGACTAATGAAGAATTAACAAAAAACTGGTTGTGTGTGTAAGAGAACAAAAATACAATTTAGAGGATTTCTTTTCTACCTAAAAATAGAATCCACCGAAATGAAGTCATAGGCTTTATTATAGTCAAATGTCATTGTTAACTTTTATATTAAGGGGTGGATAAAAAAATTGTTTAAAATATAATAAGTAGTTTCTCTGACTTGTAAATGATAAATACTTTCATGGAAAATTTGCCCATCTCACAAGGTTTCTGTGAGAACAAATGTTATAATAGATATGAAAGGGTTATGAGAACCATGAGCACAGAGCACGCCACAGGAGAAGGGAATTATTGTCATGCATGTGGTTTTACATAGATTGTAGAAAAAGGAAAAATTGGTGTCTTTTGGTACTTCCATAATGTTCATTATTATCACCACAATTATCATTATCTTCAAAAAGGTTTTATTAAGGTTATCAATATCATATGTCTGTATTTTTATTTATCATAGAATCAGGTCCTAGATTAGACTGCTAACCCTAGAAATGCATTAAAAGACCAGGAGTGAAGGGTACTTGCTCCCCCTTACCTACTTGCAGATGTAATATGCTAGCATATGTTCATTTTCACTGGATAACTTCTATTGCAAATCAGGTACATTATTGCTTGAATTTATAACCATGATATAATTTTTACCCAATATTTATTGAAAACAGAATGAGTTGTATAACAAAGATTTCACCACATGGCATGTAGCTCTTTCTCTACAGGAAATAAAAATAGTTTCCAAAGAGGAAAGGGGAAACGTCTACACGCACACACACACACACACAAACACACACACACAGAGGTCTAAATAGGGATTACCCATGTTTTCTCCTTTCTGTTCTCCACTTATCACACCAGTAAGTAAATGATAATAAATGCTATGTATTAATATAGCATTTATCATTCAGTATTATTTTGCCATTTTTAAAGTTGAAAAATTAAAATTGTATATATTTATTGTGTACAACATGATGTTTTCAAATATGTGTACATTGTAGAATGGGTAAATAAAGCTACTTAACCAATGCATTACTTCATATACTTCTCTTTTGCGGTAAAATTTATTCCTACCAATTTTCAAGATAGTCCCTTATACTTTATGATCATATGTTTTCCCCATCGCATATTAAAACGTTACTGAAAATAATTGTGGAGCAAGGATTTTGCTGCAGGTTACATTGTGAGGAATCCTGTGTGGCACTCGTAAGAATCTGGATGCTAATGAGGAATTGGTATAAGCTGACACATGTATTCCATTGTTGATCATGCTGACTGCCGTGGCAAAATTTACACTATGACTGTGGCTGATATTTAATTTTCCTACACTGGCTGAATTATAAACAAGAATCCACCACCAAGACTTATAATTCATCACAATTGTTTATTTTCATGGCCAACAGAGTCCATCTGCCTACAAATTCTTTATAAACATCTCTTTAAAAATAGAAATGCTCATGAAAGTGAGCATATACACTCTAAGTATTTGGAAGTGTAACACTAATTTGTACATAGCAATTAAAAATTTTGAAGATAATTTATTTGTTTAGCACGTTATGGTTTCTAAAGTACCTTAACTTTAATTTTCTCAATTGAGTCTCACAAAAAGCCAGTAAAATGCTATTTTTTCATTTTAGAAATAAGGCAAGTCAGGTGTGGTGGCTCACACTTGTAAGCCCAGCACTTTGGGAGGCTGAGGCCAGGGGAGGAGTTGAGGCCAGGAATTTGAGACCAGCCTGAGGAACACAGAAAGACCCGGTCTCAAAAAATAAAAAGAAAAAAAGAAAAAAAAATAGCCAGGTGTGATGGTGCATGCCTGTAGTCCCAAGTACTTGAAAGGCTGAAAGACAGGATTATTTAAGCCCAGGAATCTGAGGCTGCTGTGAGCTAGGATGGGGCCACTGCACTCCAGCCAGGATGGCCAAGTGAGACTGTCTTTAAAGGACAAGAAAAAAAAAAAGAGGCATCTTAGGTACAAGAGATTATGTCAGTCACTCATAATTAGGCTTACATATGGTAGAGTTTAAAATCAAGCAGTTTTGTAATCTAAACCCATAATCTGCCCAATTCATTTTCCTCCAAAAAATCACAATATTAAGAACTTGTAGATGATGCAAATAAGAATGACAGTAACTGAGAAGAGGACTGTAGGTAGCCTGAGGGTTATTTTTTTTTAATATGAAGGTAAGGTGGAAGGAGGTTTTATATCTTTAAAATGGATACTGTGGGACTAATAGTCAAATGTGAATATCCTTTTGCCATTGAACAAGAAAGAATGTCTTTAAATTATTGGAAGGTGGCTTCTGAATAAATAGTATAAATGTTCTTCAATATGGTTAAAAGACCCTGGAATTCATTGTGCAGAAAGAATATTGTTTTATATTTTAAGATTTTTCAGAAATGCATAAATATCCATTTGGAAGTCTAGATGAAGTGCAGTTTGCCCAGATGTTAGACATGATTCGAATAATTCTTTTTCCCCAGTGGTATATATAACAGTGGTAGTACATGAACACTGTGCAGGAGGTACACAGTGTGTTCTTAGCAGTCACTAAAGCATTCACAAAGTCACTATTGCCATATCAATGTCTTAGAAAAAGTGCACTTTCTGTTTTTATCGAGATTCATGTCAAAGACTTTAGGATTTTACTGCTGCCAATTTATTTTCCTTTAATGGACAATCATACTTTGCATTAATAGAGTTGTTAAAAACAGACAATAACTAATGTGCTAAGATCATTGTCTGCAAGACCATCCCTTCCAGCAGCTTGAGCCATTTATAGTGATCCCAATATTCCTATCTCTAACTGCCAGGGGAAACCTAAGTAGAAAGAAAAAGTTCAGGGGGATGCCCTTTGTAATATCTTGTGAAGGTGAAGAAGCAAGCTTCAAGATCAATTCCAGCTCTGAATTCACACCACTTCCTGAAATGAAACACAAATGTGGTAAGCGAGAAATGTTGAATAGTGCCACCACTGAGGTTAGTCTTCAGACCAAATAAACATCTCCATTTTTATGTGCCTCATAACTACTTTTCAGGACCCAACCATAGATAAGTTGTAATTCAAAGAAAAATTCAGATAAGGGCAAATTGATAACCTTTATGTGTTAAACAGAGTAGTGTTCATTCAAAAGAATTTGTGGTTTGAAAAACACCCTTTCCTTTTAAATGCATTCAGTTTTTTAGTTATTTTTTATCAGACATTCCTCTCCAAAACAGAACTATAATATAATATCCAGAGGTCAATGTTTGTGAACATAGATTCCTCTGTACAATTTCTCTTTATGACCTTACCCATGACATCATTACCTTAACTTCAAACTTTAAAATTCAGTTACATCTATTTGCTCTATATTGGTGGAAATGCTTATATATACTTTCAAGTATAGTTCTAGTACTTTCATTATTTATTTAACTAATTATATATATTTTTAGAGAAAAGGTCTTGCTCTGTCACCCAGGCTGGAGTACAGTGACACAATCCTGGCTCACTGCAACCTCAGTCTCCTGGGCACAAGAGATCCTGCTACATCAGCCTCCCAAGTAGCTGGTACTACAGGCATGCACCACCACACCCAATTAACTTTTTAAAAATTATTTTTTGTAGAGATGAGGTCTCATAACATTCCACAGGCTGGTCTTGAACTCCTGGGCTCAAGGGATTCTCCTGCCTTGGCCTCCCAAAGTGCTGGAATTACAGACATGATCCACAGTGCAAGGCCCCTAGTACTTTTAACCTGTTAGTTACTTTATACCTCTAAGTGCAAATTTTAATATATTCAAATGTAATCTCTTACAGGACATCCTACATGTTATTAAACCTTAGATGATAATGATAGTAAAATTCTTCTTTTGGCTTTCTTTATTTCACAGGATTATACACTCACCATGTATTTCCAGCAGTCTTGGAAAGACAAAAGGCTTTCTTATTCTGGAATCCCACTAAACCTCACCCTAGACAATAGGGTAGCTGACCAACTCTGGGTACCAGACACCTACTTTCTGAATGACAAGAAATCATTTGTGCATGGGGTCACAGTGAAAAATCGAATGATTCGACTGCATCCTGATGGAACAGTTCTCTATGGACTCCGGTAAATCACTTTATATTGCATGTTTTAAAGTTGTTGTTGCTTTGTTTCATTTTCAAGTTTTGGAAGTGGGCAAAGGGAAGAGAAGCAAGAATATATAGATGAATATATAAATGGGGTGTCATATACTTATGAAGGTCTATTACTAACCCTCATGTAGTTAAGGGCTTATTACAAATTATAGGCAATACATCAAAATTACCTACCAGTTTTACAACAGAAATATCTGAACTGTAAACTGTTATTATAGGATATGTAAAGTGGTGGCTGTTTATTCTTTGTTGTCACCTTTAGTGATTCTTTTGAGAAACAGATGAAACCTGTATGTTCACAATATCTCAAATTTTCCTGTTATTTCAGAGTGTTCATAAGCCCCTTGAAATCCTTCCATGTACCATGAATACTAAGCTGAAACTCCAGTTACGGGTCAAAATATAACAATTAATGTCTTTAAATTCACTAATGCCCCAAAACAATATACAAGTGAAAACAATATGTATCTGTGATGAAATTTCTAGTGGTTGGTTATTTAGTTGATAGTTTGGGTCTTCATTTGCACAGTAAAATAATATCAATTGTTCTTGGCAAAATGATCTTTGAAATTTGATAGCTTTGGTCTTCATTTGCACAGTAAAATAACGTAGTTGTTCTTGGTAAAACAATCTTTGAAATTTTTCCACTCTTTCTGTACCCCAAGGACTTTCAACTTCAGTTAAAAATCGCTGAGTTAAAAGTCTTTGGGAGAAATGGTAAAATAAATTAACAGTTCCCTTGAGTCTATTGATAGCTACAACAAAAAGACTACTAATCCAAGATTAGTGGTTAATTATTAGTTATGGTTCATATACTATAAATCAATTGTAATTTTTCTGTTACCAGTGTAACTTCCATTTACCCTTCTAAATTATCCTGGGAGAGTAAATCCATGACTCAATTTAATAGGCTAATCAACCATGACATGTGTAAGTATATGGATTAGTAAAGAATATATAAAAAGTTGATTGATTGAAAAAAAAGAGCAACTAGATTTTTTTTTGGCAAGAAAGAATGTGGCTTACATTGTCAGATTACAGAATCTCACTTCATGAATTTCCCAAATTACTACCAGCATCTACCAATGGGAATAATCCAAAGGAAGGAAAATATTTGAGAATCATGAAGTTGAATACATTTCATTTTACAACTGGGAAAACTGAGACAGAAAAGGGAGAAGTACCTTATATAAGGGAATAATAAGGTAATGCCAGAACTGGGACTAAAATCCATGTATCCTGATTCCCATGCCTGTGCTTTTCCACTCCATTGCCATTCAAGTGCACATAAAAGTCAACTCCTATTTCCAAGTTGTACACCACTTTAATCCCTTCGGAGCAAACCCAGTTCTTTGTAGCTTGTTGTCTAGCAAACAGACAATGACCTTTCCAAAGAAAAACACAAACCATTCATCTATTATCTGTGCCCTGCTCTTTTTATGGCACCAATTTTCTCTGTAAGAGCCTCACACTAGTTCTCATAACTTCCCTTTCTCTTCCTCTGTCTTTCCCACTTCCTCTTCCCTCACAGATTTAGTTTTCCTTTCCCTAGAAGTTATCAATATCCTGGAAAGGTCATAAGGTATAGCAGAGAAAGTATGACATCTAAAGTCAGGGGACTGAGATTGGGCATAAACTCCACAATTTTCTGACTTCTTGACCTTGAATAAATTATGTAAACTTGTTAAGACTTAGTTTTTCAGTTGTATAGTAACGGGCTAATACTCCCTTACTCATTACTGGGACAATCTTATGAACTAATCAATATGACAATACATAATAAGTCCTAAATTGTATGTCTCTAAAGTAGTTGTGCCTTATATAGCCTTATTAGGCACTGGACAAACTGCATACCGAGGGTGGTTTTCTAACTCCCAGGGGTATCAGTGATTAAAATAGCGATAAAGTTGTTCAGTTAAAAATATACTCCTTGAGTGCCTATTATGTGCCACACACTCACTATTTTGGCCCTAAGAATAACTTTCCAGAAGCTGAGTAGAAATTTTTCAGTGGGGCCGGGCGCGGTGGCTCAAGCCTGTAATCCCAGCACTTTGGGAGGCCGAGGAGGGCGGATCACGAGGTCAGGAGATCGAGACCATCCTGGCTAACACGGTGAAACCCCGTCTCTACTAAAAAAAAATACAAAAAAACTAGCCGGGCGAGGTGGCGGGCGCCTGTAGTCCCAGCTACTCAGGAGGCTGAGACAGGAGAATGGCGGGAACCCGGGAGGCGGAGCTTGCAGTGAGCCGAGATCCTGCCACTGCACTCCAGCCCGGGCGGCAGAGCGAGACTCAGTCTCAAAAAAAAAAAAAAAAAAAAAAGAAATTTTTCAGTGGACATAGAGCTGAAAACAATAGAGACTGCGGACTCCAAGACTGGGGAGAAGGGGAGTGTGGCAAGTGTTGAAAAACCACCTATTGAGTGCTATATTCATGATTTGGGTGATGGATTTAATAGAAGCCCAAACCCCAGCATCATGCAATATAGTCATGTTACAAATCTGCACATGTACCTCCTGAATCTAAAATTTAAAAGGAAAAAGAAAAAAAGAAATTTGTCAGTGGAATGCACTTGGGACTTTGAGTCAAGAGACTTGTGGCCTAACCAGCTGGTACCCTTCAGTAAGCCATTTCACCTCCCTGGGCTTCAGATCCACCAACCTTAAAAAAAGTGATTGGATGAAACTACTCCTAAATTTCATACTGTATTAGTCTGTTTTCATATTGCTATAAAGATGCTACCCAAGACTAGGCAATTTACAAACAAGAGAGGTTCAACTGACTCCCACTTCTGCCTGGCTGGGGAGGTATCAGGAAACTTACAATCATTGCAGAAGAGGAAGCAGACACGTCTTGCATGGTGGCGGGTGAGAGAGAGAATACCAAAGGGGAGGAACCCCATCCTTACCGAAAAAACAATTCTCATGAGAATTCACTCACTATCACAAGAACATCATGGGGAAATCACCCCCATCATCCTGTCACCTCCCACTGGGCCATCCCTTGACACCTGGGGACTACAATTTGGATTACAATTCAAGATGAGATTTGGGTGGGGGACACAAAGCCAAACTATATCACCTACTAAACCTAAATTCCATTGCTTTGTGATCCTATATATTAGGGCATATTCATTTTAATTCCCCTGATGTAACATTTCCTAATCTAAGAAATGACAGTCTGCATTTTTCTAGGTAAGAGCTTTTTAAAGAATATCTGTTATTGGTCACCTCCTAAGCACACATACTAGAATATCCTTATCATATAACATATTGGAATATTTATAGCTGTATTTATTTTAGGCATGAGTAATTAAGAGAATCAAACTTCTTACCTTAATCCTTTCCATCAGTCCAGCTCATAGTCATCATGAATGGGTCCATATATTAATGAGTAGGTTTTAGCAATCATGGGATCAATGAGATTTTCTGAATGCACTGGAAAGCCTTTGGCTAGGTATTCCATAATCGTAACAGAAAACAGATTTTAAAGAAAATCAATTTTTTGCTATATTCAAACTCTCAATATGAGATACTATAACTTATATGAAGCCAGAAGAATAGAGTCAGTTGTCTATTTTTGTGAACTATGTCTAATCAGATTTTTCACCAAAGGAATGGCACATAGTCCTGTAAACACCCTGAAATAATAGAATGGTGTCTGGTGAGGGATTGGCACTTCTAGAGGAACCAGGCTACTATGCAACAGATATTCGGCCCTTGGGAGAGACTTCATTCCTTGTGCCTCTTGCCCTTGGGTCACCCTCCTGTGACAAAATGCATTACACAAAAGAGTAACCCAGTAACCTCTATTACTTCCTCTTCCATTTAGGTGGGGAATCTAAATAAAAAATGTCCATGATGTGCTGTAAGTTGTGTTAGGAGACCAGAACTTTAGTCCATGTGCCATGAGCCATTTAACTTGGTCATCTCAGAACACATGATGTCATTTCCTTTCTTACTCAAAAGCAGAGACGATACAGTATCAGCTCCCTCTATGTCACTTAAAATTCTTCTGTTTTTCCTCCCTTTCTTCCACTTAACTTTAAGGAGGATTTTTCTCTTTTCTCTGAGCCTAATCTCTTCATGTCTGCATGTAATCTTTTTGGTGCACACTCTTTACAGACTTTGCTCCCCCATTTTACCTACCTCTTCAGCCCCTCCTCTCTGTTGACTCCCTCTCTTCAGTTTCTGCTTTGAGCACCAGTTTTCTCACAGCTTTGGTTTCCTCTACTGCCTCACTATACGTTACTCCTCTATCTCCAACAACATGGTTCCCATCCATAGTACTTTCCCAAAACAGCTCTGCCAAAAATTACCAAAACCATCACTGGTTCTCAATATTAAAGAATCTTAAAGAATCTTGACTTGTCCGAATGCTGTAAGAGTAATGACTGACTCTGACTTCAGGACTTCCAAGACCCAGCACAATTTTTAAATTATTCTTGCTCTTCTGTTTTTTGTTATTTCATTATTGACTCCTCTTTTGCCACTAATTGAAAACTCTAAGGATTCTTCAAGATTTTATCAGTTTATTGAGTTTAACAGCTTTAAATATCTAAATTCCCAAACGATCAAGTTTCAAAAATTTTCAATTGCTCACTGAGCATCTGTATTTGGATTGCCTGCCAGCTCCTCCTCACATGACCCCTAGTTCATATCATTTGATTCTCAAAACTGGGCCATCCTCCTTTCCCAAGTGTTAATGAAATTACCATCATCCCATTCAATAGACATAAACTTGAAGGTAACTGTAATTCCACATCTCTTTTGTCACTGAGATTTAATCTGTTGCTTCTATTCCACTCTATCTCAATCTCCTTCTCTATTTCCAAATCACTTCTACCACCTAAATTAACATCCTCACTATCTGTCACTTCCTGGCCCATTTCCTATCTCAATTTTTCTCATTACTGCCATCTTACTTCTCCTACAAA